TAATACAGAGCATGGAGTCGATGGCCATCGAAATGATAGCACGAAGTGATGAAAAGCAGTTTAGAGTGAAATCTCTTTCATATATTTTAGTCCTTTTGTCTCAAATGAATCGAAGAACTAAACCATTGATTGATGCGGTGGTCAACCGATTCACATATCAATCAATTGATCCAAAACACTATAAGGAGAAGTATTTGATACGAATGATGTCAGCCCTCAGTCAACTCAATTACGTGGACATCGCTTTCCTCAAGAAAGCATCGGATCTGTTGTGTAATAAGAAATTTCTGAATTCTGTTACGCCTTCGGATAGACGCGATCTCTTAGTGGCCATCAGTCACTCGAACTGGTCTTATCCAAGACTTCTCAATGAGTACATCGAGAAAATTACGGACACTAACAACGACTTCAGGTTTGAATCATTGTCTCAAGTGTTTGCCATATCTTATGTCACCATTTCATTGAGTAGTCCTCAAGACTTTCTGGTGTTTGTGTCGAGTGTGGCGCGTCTTCATAGTGGCGCCAATTATCTGAACGATATTTTAGTCAATTATGTCATACCATATGTGAAACGAGAGGACTTGGACGCAGATTCATGGCTTCTGTACGTGTGGTCGCTGTCTATCATTGGATGCGCGCCTATTAATTGTATCAAATCTGTTATGAATCACGAGTTTTATAAGCAACTCATGAATTTTACCGACAGTCCCATGAATGAGACAATGAATTACAAACAAATTACACATAAATTAAAACTTTTGAATATTAAAGGCGTCGCAGAGATCGAAATGAATGAAAAGATTGATTTCGAGCCAATTGTGGCCAAAAATCATAAAACCCTTAAAAGGGAAGTCTCTCTCGAGAAGTATAGGAAATATGTGCTCCAAATGCTAACATCATTTGAGCCCAACATCTCAACTAATATTTCAACTCCTTTTGGATTCACAATAGGTTTGTATTTTTTGAATCATTTATTATAAATTAAAAAATTTTTAAAACACTTTTCTGACTAAACAGACGCGGAATTCATAATAAACAGAAACAATGAGTTTCTTTCACTTAAAGAATACGGAGTATTAGGCGGCGATCCGTCTAATAAAGTGCGAGAACTGCCTCCAGATTTTAAAAGGTATTCAAAACGAGCGCATTATTAAAATACATAAAATGTATTAACTTTTGATTAAACCGTGAAAATCAGGTGCGCTATCATGTGCTTTGGATTCAATGACACCCTTTTGGGGGAAACGGGTCTAATCGGAACACACGAACTGTCCATTCGGTTATTNTCCCAAACGTTTCAATAACCGAATGGACAGTTCGTGTGTTCCGATTAGACCCGTTTCCCCCAAAAGGGTGTCATTGAATCCAAAGCACATGATAGCGCACCTGATTTTCACGGTTTAATCAAAAGTTAATACATTTTATGTATTTTAATAATGCGCTCGTTTTGAATACCTTTTAAAATCTGGAGGCAGTTCTCGCACTTTATTAGACGGATCGCCGCCTAATATTCCGTATTCTTTAAGTGAAAGAAACTCATTGTTTCTGTTTATTATGAATTCCGCGTCTGTTTAGTCAGAAAAGTGTTTTAAAAATTTTTTAATTTATAATAAATGATTCAAAAAATACAAACCTATTGTGAATCCAAAAGGAGTTGAAATATTAGTTGAGATGTTGGGCTCAAATGATGTTAGCATTTGGAGCACATATTTCCTATACTTCTCGAGAGAGACTTCCCTTTTAAGGGTTTTATGATTTTTGGCCACAATTGGCTCGAAATCAATCTTTTCATTCATTTCGATCTCTGCGACGCCTTTAATATTCAAAAGTTTTAATTTATGTGTAATTTGTTTGTAATTCATTGTCTCATTCATGGGACTGTCGGTAAAATTCATGAGTTGCTTATAAAACTCGTGATTCATAACAGATTTGATACAATTAATAGGCGCGCATCCAATGATAGACAGCGACCACACGTACAGAAGCCATGAATCTGCGTCCAAGTCCTCTCGTTTCACATATGGTATGACATAATTGACTAAAATATCGTTCAGATAATTGGCGCCACTATGAAGACGCGCCACACTCGACACAAACACCAGAAAGTCTTGAGGACTACTCAATGAAATGGTGACATAAGATATGGCAAACACTTGAGACAATGATTCAAACCTGAAGTCGTTGTTAGTGTCCGTAATTTTCTCGATGTACTCATTGAGAAGTCTTGGATAAGACCAGTTCGAGTGACTGATGGCCACTAAGAGATCGCGTCTATCCGAAGGCGTAACAGAATTCAGAAATTTCTTATTACACAACAGATCCGATGCTTTCTTGAGGAAAGCGATGTCCACGTAATTGAGTTGACTGAGGGCTGACATCATTCGTATCAAATACTTCTCCTTATAGTGTTTTGGATCAATTGATTGATATGTGAATCGGTTGACCACCGCATCAATCAATGGTTTAGTTCTTCGATTCATTTGAGACAAAAGGACTAAAATATATGAAAGAGATTTCACTCTAAACTGCTTTTCATCACTTCGTGCTATCATTTCGATGGCCATCGACTCCATGCTCTGTATTATCTCCGGACTCAATGATCGCCAAAGACTTAACTAAAAGATAATGACATGAGTGGTGAACACAATGGCAACAATGGATACAACCATTTGGATGATGTCGTCGTCGTCTTCCGCATTGTCTAACTTTGTCACCAAATTGATGATCATTTCGTTCACAACTTTCATCTGTTGTTCAGTTGTTTGGTATCTCACGTGATATGACAGACATTGCAAGAGATCCTTAAGTGTCATATACTTTGCTCTCCAGAGGACCTCATTCTCCAGATTCTGAATCTATGGATCAAAACAATCAATGAATTCAAGAGATTCTTGCGATTAAATGGTAAGAATGGTTACAAGACTGGTGTTGGGATCGGTTCCCATCAACAGAAAAGAGTGCAAACTATTGATGAGTTCCCGGTTTCGAAGATAATTCACGTTTTCTTCGATGGTTTGACACAATTGTTGAAAATCTTGTGATTCAATCAACTGATCGACAGATCGGTTCCCTTTCACCACATTCTGCGACAAAGTGAAGACACTTTGAAGGACTTCTGTGCGGAACAGTTTGTCAGACAGGAATGGTCTGTCACTGGACTGTGAGCTGGGCTTCAGATCTTCGTTCAGATGAGCGATGGTTTGCTGGAAGTGATGGGAAGTGGTGTCACATCTGCGACAATGCGCTGAAGTAGTCATCGACTGAACGCATAATGCATTCAAACATCGGTTCAATCGATTGAATCGTAAAAACATTTTGCACTCAATTTGAAGATCAGATCCACTGATGAAATGATTGCAACATTGGATTCACTGGTCATTGGATTCACAGTCAGTGCAACACATGCTCTCCAATCACAACACAAACATAACTCTAAACCATTGCATGACATCTACTGGCAGTTCATTCATACTTTCGCATAGATTCTGGACATTAGATCAAAGTTAGCAAAGTTTTTACATCAGAATAGCTCACTGTATATCATATATCACTGAATAAACCGATTATCAGCTTATTGTTAATCATTAGAAATGAATCTAGAACAAATATGTATAAATATAGAAAATATATGAGAATAATAGAAAGCTTGCATTAAACCAAGTTTTTATTATATAAATAAGAAGTACTGTTGAAAAGAGACTGATATACTGTATGAATAATTCAACTAATTCTGTCTATAAGTATAGAGTATTTTAAATATTTTGGTTTATAATGAGTGAATGATTTGGTTATAAATATGAGGACTAGTCGTCAACTGTCATGACTTCGGGCACGTCTTTAAGCCATTTATGTCTCATAACACCGGAGATGTCGATCCGTCTCTTAGGCGAGGGCTCGAGCATCGCGTCAATCAGATTAATGAGATCATCGGATGTGTTATATTTGGCGTTATTGTCGTCTCGGAGGGACTCATACTTCTTATCCAATTGGGTCTCTATTACATGCATTAGTCTCTCGTAACTTCTCATATCCTCCCTCTGGATGTCGTACGGAAACACTTTGCCTCATGTAATGCAAAGTCACACCCAATGACCAGATGTCTGCCTTACCGAATAGATGGCAGACCCGACACCACCAGCAGAGCCACCGAAGGACGCGTCGGCAGACAAACCGCCGGAAGAGAAGAAGGCTTCGGAGGACAAGAAGGCGGCTGAAGGCGCCCCACCGGCAGACGACAAGTCCAAGTCTGAGGAGAAGAAGGATCAGCAGAGCCACCGAAGGACGCGTCGGCAGACAAACCGCCGGAAGAGAAGAAGGCTTCGGAGGACAAGAAGGCGGCTGAAGGCGCCCCACCGGCAGATGACAAGTCCAAGTCTGAGGAGAAGAAGGAGGAGAAGAAGGAGGAGAAGAAGGAGGAGAAGGGGGGATCGAAGGGGTCGTCGAAGAGGAAGGGAAAGGTAGAGCTGACGGAAGCAAAGATCGGCTTCTTGGGCGCCGGGAAGATGGCGATGGCTATCATTCAGGGACTCATAAAGTATGCAAAAGTGGATCCCAAGAAAATACACGTCTCGGCAAAGACTACCAAAAACCTGGAAGCGATGAAAGGGATCGGGTGTCACATCACGAAAAGAAATTATGACATATTCGCGAAATACGACTGCGATGTGGTCTTCCTCTGCTTCCACGGCTCTGTCATCAAACAGTGCTACAAGACTGGCGGTTCCCGACCCCACCCCCTCACCACTAACTACATCCCAAACATGAAGCACCCGTTGTATGTGTTGTCTCTGGTGAGTGGCGTGACGTTGGATCAGATCAAAGCCTGTCTTCTGAATCCCGAACACCCGGAGAAGTATATCCTCGAAATGCATAGGATATGCCTCAACACTGCCACCGCTTACGGCATAGGGTTGGGTGCCATCGATGTGGAGCCCGACGGCAAGAAGTGCAGTCCAATCGTCAGAGACATCCTGTCGACGGTCTCCAAGTTGGAGTACATCCCAGAGAACCAGATGGACGCGGCCTGTGCTCTGGGCGGTCAGGGACTGGCGTTCGTCTACTACTACATCAACGCCTTGGCTGACGGCGCCTTCAAAATGGGTCTCAACCGCTCGACTGCTGTCAAGTTCGCCGCCAAAACGGCTCAGTGCGCGGCCCTCACACTCCTCGAGTCCGGCAAACATCCCTCTGAACTGAAGGACAGTTGCACTTCGCCTTCCGGTGCAGCCATTTATGGGATGCATGTCTTGGATAAGGCAGACGTCGGCTCCGGTGTCTCCGCTGCCGTCGAAGCCGCGCACAAACGCGCTAAAGAACTCACCGAAGAAGTGGTCAATTAGTCCACAAGTAGTGCTCATATAGTCCTCAATCGATGCCTACCTGAAGGAGACATTCAATCACTAAAAGCACTCAAAATTCTTGTCTTTATTCTCATTATTTCTATTGATTTCTATTTATATTTCACTTCAATTTGTTTATTAAAATAAAAATTCTTTTAAATTAAGTATTAGTTTTCAATAATTAATTTTTATTAATCAGTGAAATGGTGTCAAAAATAATAGATTTTTGATCTTCACTGAGATCTTCATCAAGGCTTATGAGATGGTAACAGAAATTCTATCACTTTATTCCAGTGTCCACAACAGGTTCATTATTTATGCTAATATGGTTAGGATAGTGCGCTAGAAATTGAAAACATTATTACATTTTACAAATTATTCCCATTTATCGTAATATAATTCACTCAAAATCAAAGTCAAAAATAGATTTTTGTATTTAACTTATTTTGAAGTTTTATATTTCGTATGATTTCAATGCAATTGAGATAACGATCAGTCGTTTGTTAAACCGCTTTATTTCAATGATTTTATTTAAATCGGTTTAAAATAATTTAAATTTAAAATATGAATAAAATAACGACTTTTTCAACTAAATTAACGGTTTTGTGGAAAATAATCCATAAAACCACTGAAGAATAATGCATTCAATAAATGATACTTTTTATGTCAATTGAGATCAACTGCTAAACTGAAAACTCTTTCAATAAATCCTTTATTAATTGCCTTTTGATTTAATTTCAATTCAAATTCTTGTGATTACTTTTCAATGAATTACAAAATCTAACCATTAAATTAAGAATAAGATATAAAGACAATCTCATGAGTTATTTCTAACACATAAGACATAAATCTAAGACAAACTGAAAGAATATCTCAAAATAAGACAAACATTTCATTTATTCAACACTTCT